GCTGTGCAGATATTAGGAGCGTAGAGCCAGAACAACTTCAGCTTCGTCGCCATTTCAAGACCGCAAATGTGGTCCACTTACGAGTGTAGTTTCCAGTGCCTTAACTGGTTTGGCTGAATAAATCAATCTTGCGGATGACCATTAACATGTTTGGGTGTTCAACCGTACGTTCAAGTCTCCCGATTGATCCAACAAAGCATCTAGATTTGCCTAGTGATTCACCATAGGGTGACTAAATGCGCAAATGTCATTTATGTAAGTCGTTCATCTTCTTAACTTTGCAACGGCTAAGTGAACTTTAGTAATGCCGCTACTGCGCTGCTGAATGCCATCAAGAGAACCCTGTTCTTGATTAGTTCCAGCCTTTAGCGCCTTGTGAACGTATTAAGTTTCGAAAATTCTTCATCCTGGGGATTTTCGTTTTCAGTTCGCTGGCCGTCTTAAAGCTGGACTTCTCAACCATCCACGGCATTCGAGAGGGGTTCGCATAATCTCTGGGCTTACGTCGGCCTACGAACCGTCTCGGTGCTCCAACCTATCCCACCGTGACGCAATCACATTGACTCAGTGACCCATCAATAACCAGTCAGTCTCACCGACCTATTGAACTTTTACACCTCCACCCTTGGATGAATGGTACCTCGTAAATTTGTAACGTATTGGCCAAGATGGCCAATCACGAAGAGAGTTTAGACTCTATCATGAATTCTGAAATAAACCAAAGATTGTCATGTAAGACTTCGTAGTGGCTTAACGAATGTAGAAAGCGTCTTCAAGCTATGCAGATATGAGGAGCGTAGAACCAGAACAACTTCAGCTTCGTCGCCATTTCAAGACCGCAAATGTGGTCCACATACGAGTGTGGTTTCCAGTGCCTTAACTGGTTTGGCTGAATAAATCAATCTTGCGGATGACCATTAACATGTTTGGGTGTTTAACCGTACGTTCAAGTCTCCCGAATGATCCAACGAAGCATCTAGATTTGCCTAGTGATTCACCATAGGGTGACTAAATGCGCAAATGTCATTTATGTAAGTCGTTCATCTTCTTAACTTTGCAACGGCTAAGTGAACTTTAGTAATGCCGCTACTGCGCTGCTGAATACCATCGAGAGAACCCTTTTCTTGATTAGTTCCAGCCCTTAGCGCCTTGTGAACGTATTAAGTTTCGAAAATTCTTCATCCTGGGGATTTTCGTTTTCAGTTCGCTGGCCGTCTTAAAGCTGGACTTCTCAACCATCCACGGCATTCGAGAGGGGTTCGCATAATCTCTGGGCTTACGTCGGCCTACGAACCGTCTCGGTGCTCCAACCTATCCCACCGTGACGCAATCACATTGACTCAGTGACCCATCAATAACCAGTCAGTCTCACCGACCTATTGAACTTTTACACCTCCACCCTTGGATGAATGGTACCTCGTAAATTTGTAACGTACTAGCCAAGATGGCCAATCACGAAGAGAGTTTAGACCCTATCATGAATACTGAAATAAACCAAAGATTGGGTAATATTGCACTTACAGTGCGGTTCGCAGCGCCTCACTGTTCACTGGTTCAAAGGCCTCCTTGAATTCGATGAACAAGACACGAAACGATTGATTCTTGCAACCGATGGGATCAACCGCTTCGGAATGCACATAAATCTTCCGAGATATTTCTCTCGACTTTCAATTGGTTGAGTAGAATGCGTGCACTGCACAGGAATTAGAATTCCCAGTAGTTGTCAGTTTTCTGACGGCCCCTCTTTCCTTCCAGCAGAACTATGATTGCGGCGTCCTTCGATTATTGTTAGACATTTTCAGTCTCTCAGGCTGTACACATCAGAAGAGATATTTCTCTCGACTTTCAATTGGTTGAGTAGAATGCGTGCAGAATTCCCAGCAGTTGTCAGTTTTCTGACGGACCCTCTTTCCTTCCATAAGAACTATGATTGCGGCGTCCTTCGATTAGTGTTGGACATTTTCAGTCTCTCAGGCTGCACACATCAGAGAAGAAACTTGCTTTTCCAATATTCGTCTGCTCAGTTGGAGCCGTTCGGCTGGAAAACCGTCGTCTCCGACCGTTTTGCTGTTCGCCTTTTGAAGTCGATAGTTTGTAGTTGGGCTTACACGCTCTATCACTGTTGGATGGAACACCATTTCTCGATAGGTTCATCAAGTGGATCCTTTAATTTCAAAGTTAGGTTACGATTTGAGCACTCGAGTAAGCAAACCAATCGGTGTACATATAAATGGTTGTTTCATCGCGCCTTCCGTCTACTTTGTATGTAGTAGGATGTAGGCTTGTTTAGGATCCCTATTTACCGACGTATTTGTCGCTAGCAGAGGGAAGTGTCAATAACGGGCAACTTATAACGATATTGCGTTCAGTTCACACACTCGGAGATAAAATTACAGCGAATCACCCCAAAACTTCACTAGGATTGCCGACAAGTTTCACCTGATCCGAGAAAACTGTTGTAGTTTACCTCCTGTGCACAGTCCTCATCGCAAGAGATTCCCGTGTGCGAGACGCGATTTGGTAGCAAGTTTGGTCTAAATCCAAGGCGTAATGATAATATGACCGTTGAGCACCAGTAATTATTACTGATATATTGCTATCCATGACGACCAGGATGTTGGTCATCTGCCATTAACCCTCTATTCGTTCGTATCAGTTTTTTTCGACGCTAGTGATTCTTGTCATCTTACGCGGTCCACTGTCACAAGGTGATCGGTATGGATATCCCGTGTTGAAGCTTCAGGTTTTTGTACCGCTTGTCAGTAAACATACACGGTATCTCCGCTCTGTGGTGATTTTGAAAACAACACGAGAAAATCCGGTCGCATTATATACTGAGTTAGAGTTCAGAGGAAGGAACAACTCGCGTTAAAAGTGCGGTAAAAAAGGGTTTGCTGTAGGCTGTTCTTTGGAATGACTGACGTACTTCGAAAAGCAACGCCAGGAAGAACACGAACTGAGGTGACCGAAGTCGCCCGCCTCTTTCGTTTGAGAATGCTGTCGGAAGTTACTCAAAAACTTAATATGTACTTCTACAAAAGTTTTCCACCAATTCTAAGATCAAACATCTATACAGGCTTATTTATTGTCCAGTTTGCTGGCATTAGGCATGCCTCTCAGGTGACCTGCCAAAACGAACCGAATTGGAAGCTTCGAACTCAATAAATATATCGCCATGACTGCCCCGTAGTGTTACAATTCTAACCCAATCTCCCTCTTATTTCCGGTGCTTCTCCACAGTGCTGCGATGTCGAAACTATCCGCATTCTCCAGCTGTTGTCCGCTAGCATCAATTTCTGAATGGTTCATTTGCTCCTCCCCAAAAATAAACCGCTTGGTTCTCAACGTACTTGTTTTGAATGTTTTCAACACAAAACAAACTATTGACGGCCTCATCCTTCGGTTTCACAAGCACTGTGGTGATGCACGACCAGCGGACAATCAGCCCGGCAACACTACTCGCAATCTGTTCCCTGGGTGTGCTCTGAAGTGATGAAACAGAAGCACCTGTGTAATTTAGTGGACAAGTGAGATACCCAGTGCAAAAAAACAGAGGCGATTTGACGGGCATGCATGGATGCATTTCCCTCCGTCAAATGGGTCGCCAACTCACTCTTCCGGGGTTCACGGTAACACCGAAAACACGGCGTAAAATAAGCTTGAAACGAGCTTTCCCAGTAATGTGCTCACCCAGATATTTGAGGAAAGTTCAGTTCAGTACAGTTCACCAATTATGATTCACCTAATAAGGACTGTCGGCTCTAGCCGCTTTGGATTCGGTCATGGGAATGTGGGAACATATAACCAAGCATTGGAGGTGATGGTTGGTTCGAACTGGATAGCTCAAGTTATTTGAAGAAATGGGAAACTGTGCAGCGACAGCTTTCTTGCGGGAGCACCAGTGATTTTTTACTTCCCATCATGATTTCGTAATCGACCGGTAACCAGTTAATAGTAGGTCCCAAGACGAATGGTCACTGTAACAGCTTTCTTGCGGGAGCACCAGTGATTGTTTACTTCCCATCATTAGCATGTTGTTGAATGATTTCGTAATCCACCGGTAACCAATTAATACTAGGCACCAAGACGAATGATCACTGTAAACAGCTTCAGAGGACAATCGACATTCTCCTTGCTAGTGGCTCGGGACCGTACGATAAACGGCAGGAATATGGTCTTTCTCACTAACTAGAGTCTCTCTCTCCACATGAACTACACTTGTGTTGGATAAAGATGAGGATAAGGCGGCCCTCTTGACAGGGATCTGTTTTCTAAATAAATGCTCGAACACGCTCACTCCAATAATTTCTGAACGTTTTGACCGTTTCTCCAAGTGCTTATCCTGTCCGTTTATTTTCCCTATTGAGCACTTCGCTTTTCATGATTGCATGAAGCAAGCAAGCTGCTTAAGAATCGAAGAAAAAAGGGCACTCCCGGCTGTGTTGCTCTCAGCGGTTCCAGTCTTTCATGGGAGACAATGAACTCCACAAGGAAAAGTCAGACCTTCATTACGGCTGGCCACCTCAGACTTAGTGCGCGCACCGCTGAGACTGGGGATTAAGCAAGGATTAAGTCCACTGCTTTGTCCATTCAAAAACTTCCCTATTTAGAAACCGAGAAAGCCACCCGCTCGTTTGCTACCAGGATCTACAACAGCCAGAACACATGAAGTGAACTCGAACCTTGTGAGAACGCGTTCGTCGTCAGCTGCTCAGTCGATTTCTTTATTCCACATATATTCGGACGATGAGGATGACGAGTTTTCCTGAAACGCACTGTCACTCCGCCGACAAGCGTTGATCAATGGAGGATTGGGGCCAAGGACATACGACAACAACTTTGATCTGCGGTACCCTTTTAGTGTATGGTCATCTTGCAACCAGGTAGCTCACGACAAGAGACTTTGAAATAGCCGGGTGGTTTGGAACATTAGACCTATTGATCAACAGCTCGCGCAGCATCCTTCAAACTCGTCTGGGCCAAAAAGAAACATAAGAAGACAATTGTGTCTAATTTGCGTCGATAAATACTACGGTTCACAATATGACAGAAAAAGTAACAAAAAGCTCCGGTAGACTGAAAAATCTGGTGGATCAACGTGACACTATTTACTGGTGCAAGCGGACAGAGGATTTTGACTGTTCACCAAGAAATGCCGGGTTGAAGATTAACATACAGCAATAGGATGGATGCAAAAGAAAGTTATTGGAAGGATCAATTGAACAGGTCATCGCCCTTCAGTGCCAAGTGGAGAACCCAGAAGATGACTGCAAACATCAGAGTGTTGGCTGTCAGCGTAAGCGCACATGCTCCCCATTGTATCTGGAAAAGTTGTAACGAACAACTTCGAAGGATTAATTGAATTCAACTCACTGCTGGAGAGCCGAGTGGAGCTCGAGCCAACAAGATGGGCAATGCATAGGCTGAGAATATCAGAATGACCGTTAGAAAGGCGCAAATATCCCGCACTGTATTGGCCTCGTTCTGACTACGAGCTATAAAAACCGGTATAGGCGTCAATATGTAGAAGATCAGTACGAACATTGGCCACCAAACACTGAAAATAACTGCATCAAAGTGGGCAGGAAAAGGTATACTTACGCATATTGAGGAAGTGCGCAAGCTAGAAGCAAAAAGGTGAAAGAACACGCACCGGCCAAAGCAACTAAAACTAAAACTGACAGAAAAGACTGCATAAAACTGGTAGAAACACACTTTGAACGCCGCGCATCGGAATCGACTCAGGCTAGGAAGTGTAGGATATTGGAGTTTTCGTAGCAAACAGGCTGTTGGACCGTGCTCCAGTTAGTATGACGTGCCTCTAAAATGTAAAGAAACACAGTAATGAGCGCAAAAAAATACAAGGGTGCCAGTTTGGATGGTTAATGCGCGACTGCTCACCGCCATTGTAGACCACATGTCAAACAACTGAAAGTAATCCCCGACTATCTGGAAATTACTAAGGACCCTCAAATCCAACAAAATCGCGATAGGTGAAGCAGTTCAGTCACCTGACCTTTCGGCAGCCACTCAGCGACAACCAACGAAGGTCGATTGTTTGGGAAATCAAGTAACGTGAGTCAGACAGCCTAGATTCACGTTCAAAGGTTGGGATTTAAAAAATCGCTGAGCTATAACACTCTTTGGGTACCTAGCTGCCATGCCGCCCAAAGGAAGCATGTGGGCTGGGATACTGACAGGTTGCCCAGGTCTAGACAGAGGAAGTCGAGAAGCGGAGGTCGGATTCAGACCGCGAACCTTCCGGTCAGTAAATTCGCGCCCTAACCACTGAGCCATCTCACCCCAGGTGGGGATTAGACGTGACAATGTTCCTTTAAATTTTCGGACTGCAGCTATTGCGGTCCTAGTTGGTGGATTGTTTTCAGTCTATAAGTTACAAACGCTTGGATAACTGTTAGTTACACACGACTGAACAGCAGACTTCACGTATATAAAAAAAACCTGTCTCAGGAGACTCCTTCAACAACAGATGCAGCTTGAAGTAACCCCATTACGATTAATGGAAACTGAGACGCAGATATTCACGATTTCACCGCTAAGCTACGTTCCAGATTCATATTCCGTCGACATATAACAGCACCACAGAAGTCACCTATGAACCTGGCGCTAATCTAATCGATTCGCAGTTCAAACGTTGCTATCAGCACCATCGACAGAAAAATATCAGTATTAAACGCATACGCCCCGCTACGGCGGTTTACTTGAATGGAAGAACAAAAGCGAATGTTGAATGGATTTGATGCTAGTCTATCGCAACCACTCCAAGCTGTCTATACCTCCAGACAATGTAGAAGTACGCTATTGATATCAATTAACAGCTATTTCTTGCATCACCTCAAACAATATCCAGAGGAATCACACGGACCCCATCCTGGAGAACGAGTCGCACCGACAGTGCCCAGACTTTTTGTAATCACTTCCAGGTCAAAGATTGACCAGCCGTCTGTTTGCCTCACTCTGAACTGGGCATTGAAAACAACACCCTTCGGCAAACGATGGTTCGGCATGCGCAACACATAACCAAACCACCACAGACTTTGGAGCCGAACACCCGCTTTCTAAATGTCTTGTTGCGGATTCACCGATGCCAATCTGCACAAGATATCGTCCTGACGACGGTTATTGAAAATTTTAAAATGTTTCAATTCCGTTGTGTACAGAGGCCACGTCTTACGGTGCGGTAAGCGCTGCGTTGACCATATTCTTACCTTCCGTCATATGCTAGAACAAGGCAGTGCGTATAAGGAACCACAACGTATGTATCCATGGATTCCCGAGGCGCATTGGACTCTGTTGACCGGTCTGTTCTCAGCATTACTGCACAGAAAGAAATGCCATGGAATTCTGTCAATATACGTTCTTTGTATTCTCAGACTTAGGGACTTCCGGGCGTATATGCGGAGCTGTACAAATGCTTCTGCATACAAAGTGGTGTCCGATAAGAATCTTCACGTTTCATTCCTATTATTTTTTGTGATCGACGAGATAATGAGAAGAAATCCCGGAGATTGAGCATCATCATCATCGACAGCACATCAGTGTTTAACAACCATGCTTCACTGCCGTACAAACTGATTTATTTTTTGTGATCGACGAGATAATGAGAAGAAATCCCGGAGATTGAGCATCATCATCATCGACAGCACATCAGTGTTTACAACCATGCCTTCACTGCCGTACAAACATGATTTATTTGAAAGCCTTATTGTAAAGAAAAGAGTGAAGGTGGACGGGGAAGGGACTTAGTGCTAGCTTAACACAATCATTCCGAGGTGCCTACACATCCAGACATTCACTCAGGCAATCTGGATAGAAACTGACAACAAGAACGCCACTGACATCGGTTGGCAGCCATATCTTGTAGTGTCTCCAACCAGGCTCAGTGAGGACCACGTGGTCCCCATCCTGGAAGGCGAGTAGCACCGACAGCACCCAAGCGTTTCTTGATCTCCTTCATACTCCTCTGCCAAGTCAAGGGTTGGCCACCTCTCTGTTTACGCCACTCTGAGTTGGGCATGGAAAACAGCACTCTCTTCGGCAAACGATGGTTCGACATATATAACACATGTCCCAAACAACGCAGCTTCCGGTTGAGCTTTTACCCACAAATCGTAAGGTCATGCTCCTGAATATGCAGTCACTGGGTGCATTACCTACAATCCTAGGAAGGGCACTCGAGGATGTGGAGTGCTCTCATCATCATCGACAGCATGACATCAGTGTTCAACACTGATGCTCTACGTATCTTGGAAATCGTATTGGTTCTGGTTGTAGTGAGACAGATGAGGTCAATGCACGAATCTCCGTTTTATCATACGGTCGTGAGATGTGACTCGTGCGAACAGCATAACTGAGACTTCTTCAGGTTTTCGATAAGCGTCATCAGGATGATACCCTGCGCAAATGGGTACCGGTGAATCCGAAACAAGACGTTCAGAAAGCGGATGTTCGGCACCAAGATCTGCAGTGATTTGGTTATGTGTTGCGCATGCTGAGTTATCGTTTGCCGAAAAGAGTGGTGTTTTCTATGCCCAACTCAGAATGGTGCGAACAGAGAGCTGGTCAACCTTTGACTTAGAACAGATTACAAAAAGTCTGGAAACTCCCGATGGATGGGGTTTGCGTGATTCCTCTGTGTGTTGTTTGAGACGATGCAAAAGATGGTTGGTTCAGCTCAATTCATCAGCCATAAACTATGCAGCAAGGATAAGTTGTTTTAAGCAGTTACAGCTTCGGTTGTCCTATAATGGAAAACAGGGGAATTACAGACCAAGGCATAATCGGCCTGTTGATATTTGAATTCAGTTGTCAAAGAAAACGGGAAACTATGCACTGACAGTGGTGGCCCTAAAGCAGGAGCATCATTGACTGCGTAACCGAGATATGTGTGACAATGTCACCAACACCCGATGAGTTGAACTTCCTGATCCATATGAGGGAGGTGACAGTTGAAGACCTGGGTTTAGCTTATCGGTTAGTTATTACACTTTCTGACTTAAAGCTGTCATTCTGGCGTGGTGGTTCGTGCTGTAACGATCCCACGGGCTACTGTCGTTAGGACTTCGTTCCACAAGGTGTAACAACGCTAGGAAGGCCAAAGGGGAGCAGCAAGACTCCGTACTACGAGGCGGTCTGAGGGGGGGTAAATTCGTAGTCCTACGCAACAGGAATGTGGATGCGGTAGGGTGCGACCGAAATATCCATACTCATGGAAGCAGTGATGCTGCCTGAAGAAAAGGTCAGCTCGAAAAACCGTAAACTTCGATCGCCCAACGGTTGACTGTGACAGCCCGCGAATTACTTAATACGGTCGAAAACCAAATAAATCGTGCCAGGATTCCGCTGAAGGACCGGACGCATCTGCTGGGAGTGACAGCACTAGGAGTGAAACACCTATGCATTGTTGTGTCTTCAGGTTAGGTCATCCCTGCAACGGAGCAGGCCCGACTCTGAACGGCCTCCCGAGAAAACCCTGCTATCTCTCCCCTTGAGGACCAGATTGTTTTCATCGGATGGGAGGGAGAAGATGCCCGAACAAACTATTCGCCCTCCCACTGCCTTGAATTCCAGAATTCAGTGGGATAACTTAACTAAACCCTCGTTCTCAGCCTAGACAAGTACTATTTTCTTGTACAGTCCCTCGTCCACCAATGTCGCTCTCCAACCCCTTCCCACGCTGTAAGCAAACGTCGCTGGATCATTTGTGTTTGGACGGTCAGGCCCTAACGAACAATTCGATCCTTTGGAATGTTTCATGAAGATTTCATTCTCTCTGTTGTGGAAAACTGGGCTCCAGCGCTCGGTCTTGCTTGGGTAGATAAGTTGAATCACTTTTGCCGTCAGACCTGCTGCTTACAAATTACAACCCATCAATGGATATCATTCTAGGGTCAGATACATCCAACCATGGAATCAAAACAGTCAGTTCCTACCGATTTCCTGACGGAACTAAAAAAGCCATCACTCATGCAGCCCGATCTTTGACACAAACCAAACGCAACTACAATCAAATAGACAAAGAAGCGCCTTTAATCGTGATTGCCGTCAAGGAATTCCACAAAATGATTTACAGTCACCTTTTCACACCCGTCACTGATCACAAAACGCTTGACAGTATTTCCGGTTCAAGGGAAGGTGTTCTGATATACAAGGCAAACCAAAAGACACATGCTGTGTGCAGCCGCATCAGCACTAAGCTGGTATGCCTTACACCCTTTGGTTAGGCCAACTCCTGCTCAGTCTATTGGGTCACTGGCACCTGGAACGGTCCCCAAAGAAAACCCTGCTGCAAGATGTCTATCAGATCAGACTTCTGAGTCAGACGCTAGGAGTAGGGTCCCCGAACAAAACCCTATATACTCCAACTGCCTTGTGGGTCAGAATTTTAAGTCAAAGGCTCAAGGTAGGGCACCTCAACCAAACTCCCTTCCTCAACTTAGGAAATCTGCCAGTATTATTAGCCCGCACAGTTCTGTGTCCACGGATATCGGTCCCCAACACCTTCCCATCACACAAGCGAACGTTGCTGGGTCATCTGATTGTCGGTTACCTAACCAATGTGCTTTTATGCACCCCGTCGCTTAGTAACAATAAACAAAATAACACCTTTCCAAATCAACGATATTTTTTTCTAATTCCGTGCTGCGTAAAGTTGGTACACAAGCAACCTTATACCCCCTTAAGTCTGATGTATGCTGTCTCTCTGAACAT